TCCTGGCCCCGCTGTGTCTTTGATCTCCTCTTGGCCTGCCTTGCACCAGGGTGTGCCTACACCAGGCCAGCAGTCCCAAAGCCTCTGACCTTTCCCTACCTCAATAGCCAGTACAATAAGATACAGCACCCACAAGTCTCTTCAGCCCCCAACTCAGCTTTTCCTCCTCACAAATGTGATCTACCAAAACACTCATCTTCTGGAAGTCAAATCAGAAAGTTTTTCTTGAAAACCAAAGGTGTTGTTTTCAGGTTCTTGGAAATACTTCTAATGTTTCTGCTCCTGGCTTTCTGGGTCAGGCTTCCTTAGGGTGAGCCAGCTGTAGCTGTGCCCTGTGGTAGACTGGATTTGGATTATGGGTGCTCAAGTCTGCTTTTTCAATTAGAAATTTACAAACCATCCAGTTGGATGAATAAAGAAAGGATAATGTGCATTTAATTTTTAATTTATACAGTACATAGGAATAGAGCAGGGAAATCAAGTATGGATTAAAAATGAACATTGCCCAATGGTCTCGTAAAGCCACTGTCTATTTTGTTGTATCTTCTATCAGAAATAAATTAGATAATTTTTCAGGATGGGATTTTTATTGGAGAGTGTTGTGGGCCTTCTCCTCAAGTGCCACTGCTCAATTTACAAGGTCTATCTATCTTAGAGCTCTTCTGTTTATCCTTTCTGTGTGCACCAAGTCCTTCATACTGGGAGATGCTCTGTAGCACAAAACAGCCCTTACCTCAAACTGCAAGTGTCTTTCCAAATGGAAAGACAAATCTTTGTTAATATGACATCTGCATATAGCTGAGATGATAAGGAATTGATAGAAGTTTCTTACTCATCTTTGGTACTCATTAAAGCTGCTCCCTCTAGTGCTTATTTAAAGAAAAGTAACTGTGCATATGTGACATCTAGAACGGGAAAATTTATTCTATCATTCTCATCTCTCTTCTCAATTAAGATGAACCAAAATCACCTTTTCTTTGATGAAGCAAGTAGTTGTTTACCTCAACTGCAGTGCCCTTTTGGCCTGTCAGCTTCTGTGGTGGTTAACCAAATGGATAATTTAATTGTTTTGAGTGCCTTTCTGAAGCTCAGGTGATGATTACTGCACCTAGATGTACCATGCCACAACAACAGGCTCACCCTGCAATCTCCCCTTCACTGCTGTTTCTCCCTGTGCCCTTCTCACAGCCTCTGCTCTGATTCCAGGTCTGAAAGAAAGGTATCCTCCAAAGAGCAATCCCTGGCTAATAAGAAATGTGTAATTTATTGAACCCTAAGGCATTGTTTTCCTGGGTCACATTTAGTTTCCTCAGGGTTTAGGAGTAGCCCGTCTTCTTTTTGAGCAGAAGATGTTCACCACAAGGGAGGTCGCTGGCTTGGGGGGATCCCCAGACCTGGCATTGCAGGAGTAACACTTGGCAGGCCAAGATGTTCAGCATGGAGTGGTGTCATCAGCTGGGAAGGATGACCCTGCTGCACAAATGGGGTGGGCTGCACAAACAGCACCCCAAAATAAAACACAGAGTAACCAGGGCATCCTGGAGAAGAGGTGGTGGGAGCTGCTGCTGTGCAGAATTGCAGAGTGCTCGCTGGCAGCTCTACTAGGGGGCAGAGTTACTGCACTGGACGAGACCAAACTTTATGGCCAAGTTAGATGTTCTTGGAGTGCCCTGGACAGGCAGGTAGGTGTGTTAGGAAGACTGTAACAGCCTTATGGTCCCCAGCATGTACCAGCCCAGCATATGTTTTTTTCCCTGCTCCCAAATTAGTCCAAGACCCCTTGCCTTCACTTCTCCAGTCACACTTCTCCTCAAATGTGCATTTCTCCAGCTTCTTCCAGCTGCCCTCTGTTCTCTTCCTAAGTCAGCCATAAGTACCTGTCTCTGCTTCTAGACAGGCAGGGAGGGACAGGTGCCAGCTCTTTATCAGGGTGGACAAAGAGCAATTGCATCTTTGGATCCTCCCTTCTTGGGAAAATGACGTGTTATTTATCAGCAATTGCAACAGAGCTTGTCCCAGTTCCTGGGGTAGGGGCTCTGGCCCTGTGTGCCAGACAGGGGACAATTATAGAACTGCAGACTAATTTTTGGTTGGAGAATACCTTAAAGATCACTGAATCCAATGGGCAGGTAGTTACCTGGCACAAGGAGGTTGATCACTCACAAGCTCAGGCTTCCCTTTGTTCAGAGTATGCCTTGGAGCTTGGTGCTGCCATGTACCTGTTCCTGGGCAGCACTGCCTATGCCACAAAAACCAGCACCCCGCTGGAGGAGACCACAGGGCATCTTGTAAATAAGCCTGGGTGCTGTTGGTCTCACAGTGTGTGTGTGTGTGTGAAGCTTTGACTTGGTATATGTAGGCTATAATGAAGAGGCTGATTGAATTTCAGGAAACTTGCAGCTTGAAAGGCTCTAGGGAAAAATAAAGCTAGAGCTCTTTTCCTTAGGAGGATTTTGTGTGGGGGAGGAAAAGTTGTTTTGATTAACTGGGATTTTAATTTTTCTTTACCACTTGAAGAAATGCCTTTCAAAGGGGTTGGCAGAGCTCTAATTTAGCTTTGCAAAAGAGGAAAGGCATTTTTTTTTTTCATTCCCAACGTGGACTAGGAGCTTGTCTGTATATTTTTGCTGCATGAGGGAAAGCGTAATGTTGGTTGACGTTGGGTTTTGTGGGCAGAACAAGATGATTTAAAAAATGCCATTCTCACTTCGGCAAAAAAACATGACCTCAGCAAGTATGCTGTCACAGCTTCAAGTATGTGTGCCTGTAAGCCTTGGAAAATGAGTACAGATTGAAATCAGCTGCTGTAGGCCAAGTTCTCCATGGCTGGAGCCATATCCAGAATGGGCTTTTTCTTCTGAACAAACTGTGTAATCTTATTTGTTGTCTTTTTGCTTCCACAAAGGCAAATCAAGGCCTTAAAAAAATCAATTATTTGAAGGAAGCAAACTATTCAAACTAGTCAACTGCAGATGCTCTTTTTAATAAAATTATGGTTTCTGTAGGATTTTTTCAGTCCTGTCATATGCTTTGTGCTGGCTGGACCTTCTAGGCAGCTGCAACCTAGAGATAAGTCGTTTGTCAGGTTACATTTAAACTCCTCATTTCAACAACATTTTGTTTTTCTGATTCAAATTATTTAAGTGTAAGAAAACTCATTGACCAAATCCACTGTGCTTGAAGACATCAGAATGGCATCAGGAGTGAATAATTATTGCTGCTGTGATTTATTGTGTTAGCTGGGTAGCACCTGGTGATCAGCTGAGAGCAGAGCTGTGTTCCCAGGCTGTGCAAACACCCAATCTACCTCTGAGTTCCATAAATCAGCCCAGCCCCAGCACTGCCTGAAGGTACATAATGGGCAGCAATGTGGTATGTTACTGTGGCATCTTGAATAAGAAGCCCCAGCCAACCTCTGCACATCAGAAAACTGTTTTAAAAGCTGAGCCAAGCGTTTTTGCTTTGGGTGTGCAACCAGAACAGCTCTTGGTCTTCTGAGGCAGGTATGGGTTCCTGGGCTGTGTGTGTCTGAGAATCAATGCCTACAGCTTCAGCCTGCAGGGTGCTGAACTTGCAGACAAGGGAGTCAGCAAAAGATCAGGATTTGATTTTAGTTTCTGAATCATAAGATAAACATGAAAACAACTATGCCATTATTTTACTGATATCTATGTAGGAAATACTTATAGCCATGCAGCTTTGTAGCTCTTCAAACTGTATGAGAAACATCCCACTGCAAAGAGTCACTGGGCACATGAGGTTATTGTTTGCCTTGCAAATCCTTTGTTAAATTGCCGCTTGATCTGGAGGGGTGTTCTGGATCCAAGATTTTGTCTGAGGATCCTTCTTGATGGTGAAAGCTTCTGCATTTCAACCCAATTTCTCCAGTACCAGAACAAGATGATGCATGGTGGAAGTCCCTGTTGCTCTTTCACAGGGATGAGATTTTCCCAGCCCCTTTGTCCACAGCCAGAACCTCTGCCACAACCAGGGCATCTGACTGCTGCCTATCCCTGCCAGCTTCCAGCCAGAGCCTGCCTGGAGCCAACATCAGCCTTGCAAAGGACTCTAGCACCTGTTGAGCCTGGTTTTGAAAAATTCCTAACAAAAAGTATTCCATATTGTCTGCACCAAGGAGTTTCAGATCCCAGAAATTCCAGAGTGTTTTTTCTTATTTATTTTTTTAGTTAGTTAGTTGGTTTAGTTAATTAGTTACTTTTATTTCAATCTCAAGATGTTACACAGTCAGACTGAGGGGCTCTCCACAGTGTTCACAGTTCTGGTATCTCTGATCTGCTGGGCATTAGGATACAGCCCCTCTAGCTCTGAGCCTGAGCTTGGACATGTGATGGTGTCTGAGTGCTGTGGCTGTTCAGCAGTGCCCAGGGAGATGAGCAGCTCTGGGAAGCATGAGAAGGATGTGCTAGAGCTGCGTGCAAGTGTGCAGCTGCTTCCTTCATGCACGGAGGAAATGGAGCACGTGTCCCTGGCGTAAAGTCAGAGGAGCCCTAACCCCAAAGCTCCAGCTACTGAGCTTGGCCTACACCCTTCCTCTCATGTCGTGCTGGTGGCTGTGCTGTTGGAGTGGGGCCAGCCACGCTATGGGGGCCTCCTGCCCTCAGGAGGATTCTGCAACTGTTTGTGAAGCCCCGGGCCGGGGTGGGATATGGTGCAGCCAGCATCTTTGGAGGCAGCACAGAGGAAACCCCTTTTCAATCAGACAAGTAGCTCTGGAGGAAAAGAAAACAGTCTGAGGGATAAATGTTCTCCTTGCAGGACTTGCACGGAGTTACTTTAGTTTTTATTTATCTCCAGTTTGGGGGTGAGTCAGCCTGGGATGTTGCTCAGACCACCTCCTTTGCAAGCCTTCAGGGAAGGCAGACAGCACAGCCTGTGCTCCTCTGTGCCTCTTACCATGCTTTACTACACACTTTATTTTGCAATTTTTAAAAAAACCTCTCCAAGCTGATGTTATTTTTTCCCCTTTCCTCTCTCTCTAGTTTTGTATGGAGCTGAACCAGCCGACGCTGCCAAACATCCGCAAGTGGAAGGGCCCTAGAGGATGTTGGAAGGGTGTTGTTTCCGAAAAACCCTCAGGCCAGCTACACAAGGTACATTAATCCCTAAGTCTGAACTTTGGCTTTGCTTTTTTCCCCCCCTCTAACCAAGGACATATTTTGAATGTTCGAGGCAACACTTTTTGGCAAGGTTTGTATTTCTTGTTTTTTAAGCTGGCTGTTCCTATAGCTTTTAATTTGACTCTACAGTTTATGTTTTGGAATATCTGTAGCACACTTGTAAGGAGGAAGATCTGTGTGTGTATTTGGTGTGTGTGTTTTTGGGGGAGGTGGACAAAAGCAGAACGTATATAGAGATGAAAAGCCATGCTTTTGGACAAGGTAAAAGTTCTGAGTTTTTCCCCTGGCAGACTGTAGTACTTCTGACATTTTTTGTGCAAGTCACCTGAACTTGCTCCCTGGTGCTGCACTGGCTGGCATTTGGAAGGGCTTCCCATTTTCCTACCATTTTCCTAGTTTGCAAGTGAAGAGCCCTCAGAGGAGCCCTGCAGCCTGCCATCCTCATCTAGAAGAGTTTAGCTTTTGTGTTCCCCAGAGTCCTCAGCACAGCTGTTAAAAATACTGTGGGCTCCATTTGAAATCTGCACCATGCTGCACTGTGCTTTTCCCTGCAGCATCTTCTGCTCTGGGAATATATACATATATATATATATATATATATATATATGTTCATATATATGTTTAAATGTGTGTATATAAATGTATTTATGTATATATATTTAAATGTATTAAATATATAAATGTATTTAAATTATAGAAATGTAGAAATGTATATAATGTGTTTAAATGTGTGTGTGTATATATATATATGGTTAAATGTGTACTGCAGAGAGGTACTGATTTATAAGGTAGTGACAGCTGCACCTGCCTACTCTTGACAATATTCAAAGTGTAGCTGCTCTTGTCTGGACATCACTGACAGTGCCCAAAAGCAGTTTCTCCCAAGGGAAATCTCTCTTTTTCACCTTTAAGGGTGCTAATGAGTTTCCAGAGCAGTGCCCTGCTTGAGCTGGAGGCTGTTGTTGCTGAACAGGGTTGTTCTCATGGTGCAGTTGTTGCAGTGTGGATGTTGTTGTGGGCAGAAGCAGGATCTGAGACCTGTCACATAACAAGTAGTGCCTGTTAGCACACAGGGCAGTCCTCAGCAATTTATTGATCCAGAATGATCCATTCTGAGCACTGTTATTACTAAATAAGTGGCTGCAGCTGTGTCTTATAGCCATGCTGCTTAGAATCCATATTTCTTTATTTTGGCTTTCCCAAATCAGGTTGCATCACCGTTCACTGCTTTTGGACTCATGTTTTCTCAGGTGCACCTCCTTTTATTGCCCTTCTGAGAAAAACACAAGAATGAGGGGAAAATAAACCCAAACAAACCAAAACCCACCACCTGGGCAGCATAAGGATTGTACTCTGGCTAGACAGACACAGTGTAAAGAAGGATTTGGAAAGATACAGAGTGCCTGAATGTGTCTGAAGTTTAATACAATCCACACTTAATTGCAGTGCAGAATGTAAATGCCCTTCAGGATATTTTTATTTGTGGCTGGAGTTTTCCTTTGGGATCTCTTGTTAGGCCAGATCATAAAAACACTGAATATAAATAGCTGTGCAAAGTTGTTCCCTCCACTTTTTCTTTTTTTTTTACTAAGAATTATTAATAAATATCTCAGAATTTCTATGTTAAATTCAGAGTCTTTAGTCAGTTCTTTCTTGAGCTGTACTTCCAAAGATAACAATGGCAGCTTTGACTACAGGGTGACTAAATAAAAATTATCACCCACGTTGTTTTACGGACAGGAATATAAGGATGAACAGTTTCCCAAGTTATGGCAGAAATGTGCAGCCAAACTAAGAATAGAAACTTTATCTATTGACTCTTCCTTTTAGCTGCTTTAACAGGAATCTCGCTGAGCTGTAGAACCCTTCAGCAAGCCAAAAATTCTCTTCTTTTTTTTGGGGCTAGCTAGTCTGTCAGGTTTGAGCACTGTGTACACAAATGCAGTGAGGTAACACAGTGTAACCCCAAGGACACAGCATCTTTGGCACAAGGTGATTTTGGGAGGCTCTGTGGGGCTAAATAACACAAAATGGTGGATGGTGCTTCTGGCTTGTACTTCCATACAGTTTGAGCATTTCAACCAGGCAGTTACTTGTGACTGCCATGTAGATAAAAATGGAGCCTGGTAATAGCCAACAGCTATTGACAGCAGTTTTATTATTTCACATCTTTTCTTGTATCAGTTTTTAGACCTTAGGCTTCTTACTGGTAGAATAATTTTGTCAGTATTTTAAAGGTGACTTATCGAAGGAGCTACCAAAGAATTTGATCCAGCCTGAATCCCTTCAAGGCTCTTGGGAAGTCAGCAGAGCAGTTAACACTTTTTTATTGCAGCTGAAATGGAGAAAACTCTCCCTTTGAATAGATTTAATTGTGATTTGCTAAGGGAAGTGGGTTTGAATGATGCCAAGGGAAATGGTGTCTGGGTGATGGGAGAAGAGGCTGACAGTGTTTGAATTAGATACTGCTGGTGGTGTCACCAGCATAGATAGCTTTCTGAAAATGCCAATTCCACGTCATAAAGTGATCCAAAAAAAATCCCATTCAAGATGATAGAAGCAGAGCTGAAAGGAGCAGAGAGCTGAGTATGAAACATACAAGCCGGAAAAGACAGAGAAATTGATAGGGCTGAGAGGTCTAGACCAGATTTCACACTAAGAGGCTGAAGGGGCCAGGATATTTCTAGCTTGCAGCTGAGAAAAGGCAGTGAGATTGTGTGGAGCCTGGGGAGAAGGAACAACTGTGCACAGCATTGTCTGCTGCAAGCCCTAGCAGTCACCCAGTGAGACCTCCGGGCACCAAACTCATGGTTAGACAATTAATCATGAGGGCAACAAACTGCCTCATTACTGACCACACTCAGAGGTATCCAGTGCCTTGCCTGGAGTAGGAGGAAATGGGGACAGGTCAGCCCAAACACGCACACGAGGGGCAGCATCCTTCAGCTCTCCAGTGGTCCTGACCATGCTCTGCCTCTGGAAGATAAAACAGACTGTTAAGTCCCTGGCTTTACTGGAGCAGTGCTGGAATTAGCTGGGTGTCCAATAGCCAGTGTGCAGATGTGAGGGGCTGTGAGTAGCAGAATGATGAGTGTTTCAGCTTGGCACATGCACTCTTCAGTGAAGTCAGTGGAGCTTCCCAGGGAGCATTCCTTCCACATCTGGTGGGAGTTTTGGTAGGGGTGAACTGAAGAAGCCTATTTGTCCTCTGTATCTTCCACTAAAAGCCCAGGAAACTGCTTCTGCTTTATGCTTGGGCATAGCCAATTGGGCTTCCTGCCCTCGGCAGGCACCATGCCCAGAGATAGATAGATAGATAGATAGATAGATAGATAGATAGATATGGGGCTGCCTTAGGGCAGAATGTTTTGTTTTTACAATCTTGTAACCGTCATTTCTCTTTTTCCTTTTTAATTCCAGGGAGTTGAATATTCTGGCTTCCTCTGGGATACAACAGCTGGCATTGAGCTGAAAGATGCCTCGTCTCAGGAGACTGCACAGACTAATGGCAACGGGAGGCACTCATATCCTCACCCTTATCTTGCACATTTCAAGGTAACTGCCACAGTGCCAGTCCAACCTTGCAGAACTTTGACTATAAAGAATTTGGCTATGGTGAAAAGAGACACAGCCTTCTCACTAATAAAAATTTGCATAAGCCTCTGGCCCTTCTTATCACTGTCCCATGGCTTGGTTATGGATAGGTGCTTAATGCACCTTAATACATGTGGTAGTTCACCACAATCAGTCCTTTCCCTTGCTCCCGTGGGAGCAAACCCTGCTGCAAGGGAGTATTTGAGAACCTGAGGGTCAGTGGATCTGCAATAGCTCCCAGGCCACAGGGCTGGGATTCATCAGTGCCACAAAGAGGGATGAGTGCAGGGAGAATGGAGATTAATTTTGTATATCTATATACACACACACACACATATATATGTGTGTGTGTGTGTGTGTATGTGTATATATATATATATATAGATATATATATAGATATATATATAGATATATATATAGATATATATATGTATATGAGTATGTTTGTGTATAAGGCACAGTACTTCAGTGAGACTTGGGTTGGCCTATGTTCTGTTGCTGTCACACTTCAGAGTTTCCATTTTAAAGCTTTTTCACTAGGGCCAAATCAATCTAAAAGAACATCATCACTTCTGGAACCAGTTCTTGGGCATATGCTGGAGCAAATATATGAGCAGAGAGAGCCCATCTCCACACAGGGTGTGATGAAAGGGTCCAGTTTAGGGAACTTGACATCTCTGGTAATGCTTTGAGAGAAGCATTAATTGAATAATTATTAATAAATAAAGTATTAGTAATAATTGATCATACAAATAGGTTGAAGTGATTCCCAGAAGGTGAACAGGAGATTGCAGGGAGCCAACAGCTCCTTTCAAGGTACATTAAGTTTCTGGTTAGTCTCTGTGACAAGGCAGGGCTAATCACAAGACAGCAGTAATTAGCCCCTGTAATGACCATGACATTATTTGTAGCTTGTTAACAACTGGTTTGGCATAAACTGATTTTCATAAGCAGCTGACTTCTTTCTGCTGACTTTTTCACCACAGTGGTGAAAGGAAGCTGTTTGCTAGTGCAAACCAGTTTCCCCAGAACTGAGAGGGTATGAGGTTACTGCAAACAAAGCTGCAAAACGCAAATGCCTCCCTCCTCTTCCTCCCCACACTGAGACACACCAAGCAGTGTGAGTCCTACTGCTCCAGATTTACCACTGAAGCTGCTGGGAGCAGGCACGTGGTTTTGTGTTGTGACCTTCCATTCCCCACATGCAGGCACTGATTTCCCCTCCTTGCCCCCAGGTTGGAATGAATGACCTGACCGTGGTTAACCTGCACCTGGCCCTGCCGCCCTGCGCGGGGGAGAACAGCGGCAAGAACCACGACAGCCACAAACTGGCAGCCTGTGCACAGAGTTTGCAGGAGACTCTGAAAGGTAAGGCACGGGTTTTTCCTGCCAGCTGTCACATGCACACTTTCTAATTCAAAGGAATTTTTAAAAGACTGAACTTTGTCTCAGTGAGCATTTCAGAAATACCCTTATCAGCCTCACAATTGTCTTTTACCCATATTTGTGTGATGCATAGCGTGACAAACGTGCTTTTTCCTTGCTCGTTGTCTTACAGTCTTTCCTAATTAACACAAACAGCACAAAAGATCCTACTGGCTTTGAGACCATTTTTTCAAATTAAGTTCCTTCTGGTTTTGTGCTACTGTAACAGCAAGTTCTGCCAAAGGAAAGAAAAGTCACTAGAGTTGAGACCTTATTTTAAATGCTTTGTGGAAATGACACCTACCTGATATAAGAGCACAGCTTTATTTTTTTTTCTTCCAAGAGAAATAGTTCTATATATTTAATTTTTGAATAATTTGAAGCTCTTTGGAAAATCCAATGTAAATTCGCAGATGGCTGCTAATGGAAAAAGAGACCAAATCCTGCTTTGGTACCTGGATGTAATATGTAGAATAATTTTATTGATTTGAAATAAGTTGCTCTGGCTTTACACCAGGATGAAATGACACCAGTATTTAGACCTGAGCTTGAGCACTGAAATAGGCAGCTGGATTTCTTTACTTCATTTCTGTGAGTTTGCTTTTTACTTTGAAGCTTGCAAATTATGTTTAACTTCCTGCGAAGCAGAACAAAGCAGTTTAGATTCTAAACATTGCTGATCTTGTTATTGGAACAGAAAAAGTCCAGCCCTTTGTTTACTGCTCAAGAAAGATGTGAAAGGGTTGCAAGGTTATTCGCGTGATGGTTTTCAACTTGGCCCAGCTCAGCAAGTTTGGTCACTCGGAAGTGTTAATGTCCCTCTTGTATAACTCAAGAGGTATTTGCAGTTTCTGTGCGTGCTCTATTGTAGTTCCTTTTGAGCTGCAGAAGCCAGTCAGAGCTATTTTGAGTGCTACTGATTTAAGTGTTTGTCCACGTACTTTAAAATTGGAAAGGATGAAGGTAAACAAAAGGATCATTTGTTTAATCCCCAAAGGCTGAACTGAAACATGGGATAAATGTGTAGCTCTTCTGAAGTCAACTGAGCAGCACTTCCACTGCATCTAAATTTAGACTGTTGGTGTTCTCTTTATTTCATGTTTTAATATTTTCATATGGCCAGCACATTACTGGAGCATGCTTGTTCTTGGTGTAGTCTCTCACCAAAGAAGAAATTCAGATTCCTCCAAACTTGTGGGATGCAGGTGTGGTCTCCTAAGGAAATGGTAGTGCACACATGCGACTTTGAAGTACAGAATTACCCTGCCAAAATGAATTTCTTGCTAAAAATGACCACCATCCTCCAGTTTCTTCCAAATTAGTCCACAAAATATGGGCAGTAAGAACTGGTTTGTGTGTGGGTACTGCAGTACATTTGAGTTTCTGTTCCCATTTTGCTAACAGATGCCTGTTCTACTACCTTTTATTCTTACTAAGAGGCAGGTGAGCATTTGAGGAACATTGTTTACTATCCACAGCCTCCCTAAAGACAGGGTATAGTATCTCCATATTTCTCCCATTATAGTATCTCCATATTTCTCCCATTGGCAGGTCCTGGATCCTTTTTCCCTCTCTTTTCTTCCTTTCATCAGTACTGGAGAGATGCAGTGGCTGTTAGCTGCTCACAGCTAACTCTTTGCAGCAGCTCTTCTGTCTTCTCCCAAGAGCTCCCCCAGTTTGGCTCCAGTGTGGTGCCCATGGGCACACACAGATGTTATTCTGGATGTCCTGGTGGTGGCTGGACCCAGGGAGCAGGGTGCTGGGTGCATTGAGAGAGTCCTGAGGAGAAGAGCTTGCAAGTGCTGGTGGATGAGTGGCTGGACATGACCCAGCCATGTGCACTTGCAGCCCAGAAAGTCAGCCTCATCCCTGGCTGCATCAAAAGCAGCGTGGCCAGCAGGGTGAGGGAGGGGATTCTGTCTCTCATGTGACCCCACCTGGAGAGCTGCATCCAGCTCTGGGATCTCCAGCGTAGGAAGGACATGGACCTGTTGGAGCAAGTCCACAGAAGGGCGGTGAAGATGATCAGAGGGCCAGAACACCTCTCCTGTGAAGAAAGGCTGAGGTATCTGGGGTTGTTCAGTCTGAAGAGGAGAAGACTTAGGGAATATCTTACAGCAGTTTTCCAGTACCTAAAAGGAGCCTATGAGAGAGCTGAAGGGGGACTTTTTACAAGGACATGTAGTAATGGAACAAGGGAGAATGGCCTTGAACTGCAGGAGGGTAGTTTTAGATGAGATATTAGGATATTAGGAAGAAATTCTTGATTGTGAGGGTGGCGAAGCACAAGTTGCCCAGGGCAGCTGTGGATGCTCCTCCCTTGCTGTATTCAAGGCTAAGCTGGATGGGGCTTTGAATGCTCTGGTCCTGTGGGAGGTGTTCCTGCCATGGCAGGGGGTTCGAACTAGATGATCTTTAAAGGTCCCTTCCAACACAAACTATGCTGTGGTTCTCTGATATTTTCTCCCACTTGGCTTGGCTATGTTCCATGGGTTACCCATGCATCAGGGACTGGGCTTACAAGACTTCTGAGAAGACTTCTTAGCAGCCAATGTAACATCACATCCTTCCATCATATGTGTGTCACTCTGTCCAGGAAGGATTTGAGCATTTAAGAGTCTGTTTAATTCATGAGGGAGATCATCCAGAGCACGATGAAGGGCATGGCAGGAAGTGTGTCCTACAGAGGTCCCCTTGCCCTGCCATGAAGCAAAGGAGGGTTTCCCAGCTCCTGCAGAGAGGCAGATTTCAGCACTGCAGACCTTCTGCAGGCACTGTCAGTCCCTCAGCTGATTGCCTTGGCACTCCAGAGCTCAGCCACTGCAGCAGAGGGCTGAGTTAAGCTTCTGCTTTGCTTCGCTGGCCAAGAGCCACCCGCAGGCACTGCCAAAATTTGCCGGTGCTTTAGTGAATTTGAAGATGCCTTTGCAAACAGACCAGACTTATTTTTTCACCTGAGGAGTGCTCCATTGACAAGGCACAAGGCACATTTGGGCCCAGAGGGTGTGAATGTGTGTGAGCACTGCTGAGACGTCACGAACAGGACACGTGCCTGGCTGCTGTGGGCAGTATGCCACCACGTCCCAACAGATGGAGACTCTGGGTCCTTGTGGACAGTGCAGTCTGTGTCAGGGACCTTTGCAGCAGAAGATTGGTTGTTAAGAGAGCTCCTGCTGCTCTGTCTGTTGGAGGAGGAGGAGGACCAGATTGCATTAGCCGAGGAGCCTCTGGCTCCTGAGGAGCAGAATCAAGCCCTGCCAGTCTTAAACTAATTTTCTCCAAAAGAAGAGAATCACAGCACAGCACCAATAGGATTGTCTTATTTTCTGTTTTTCTCTCCATCTGATTGTAGCTGTGGGCATCACAATTGCAGTTTTTGATCAGTTATCATCCCTCATTATGAGCAATAGCATGATTTCTTCCAGAACTTTTGCTAAGTTTGGCTGAGAGCCATTGGGGCTCATCCATGAGACCTCTGAGAGCAGCAGCTGCTGTGGGCAGCTCTGCTCCCTGCCTCTGCTGAGAGACCCAGGAGTGTCCAGTGAGACAGAGTCACACACTTGGGCACATCCAGGCGGGTTCACTTCCTTCCCTCTCATGGCTGATGTCTGTCAAGGTCTTGGGAGACAGACAGACACGAAACTGCAGTGCTGGCATGCATGATGTTGTTGTTGCAGGAGCTGGCAAAGGTAGGAGCAGGGCTGAGGGTGAGCCAGGACAAAGGGGCAATGAAGTTGGTGGTTGTCTAGAAAACTGGTTGCTTGCTCTTCTTTGCTTTTAGCACAGGGCTGCCTGATGTGTTCCCCACTGCTCTGCAGTCTGAGAAGCCATGGAAGCTCCTCTCAGAGGGGAACCAAAAGTACTCCCTTCTCTCCCCAATGGCAAGTGGGGTTTCAGCTTCTTTAACAAGCTCCAGCCTGTTCTGTCAACTTTACACTTTGTTATGATTTTATGCGTAGTTATTCTGCATGCAAATTCTATACGGGTGAAGAATATAGTGATTTCCTCCCTGGGCAGTCAGGTGCAAGCTGACTTCTTACCTCCTTCCAAGCACGCATCCAAGTGCTGGATCATGTATCCTCTGCTATTTCTAACCTCTCCAGAATGGAAAGGTTAAAATTTTCAGTCAGTTAAAATTTTCACTTGTAAGTACACTGGGGTTTTTCCATAGATATTTTATGTAAGGGAGGTAGTCTTGAAGATCTGCTAAAAAAAGCATGAGTAGTTTAGGATAGAATAGATTAGATTTTGTGGATAATCAAGGTACTGCTGTTAAGTAGTCAGCCTGTCTATCATTTTTAAGTACCAAGGATGTGCTCCAGAGGTTTCTGTAATGGTCTTTTCCAACATAGTATGGAGATGGAAGGAGCCAAGTGCTGCCTGGGTCATTAAGCAAGTGTTAGCACGGAAGGACCAAAGTTACACTTCAGGATTCCTGGTCCTGCCAAACAAGAAATCTTGCAGAAGATCTTTGTCATGAGATGTATGCACAACTACCAACTCACAGTAGGCATGGTCATCCCATTAGAAAAAGACTGATTTTTCTTTTGGGCTCTGATGGAGCTTTAAAAAACTCAGGTTGAGATTCAGGTGGTTTTTTTTCCTTCAAAGATGAGAAGACTACTGTAATGAATGCTTTATAGAATAGTATTTAAATTTCATTTTTTTACAATATGATTTGTGACTTAGAAAGGGCAGAGAAACCACAAATATTTTCACTAACTATTCATTACCCCTCTTCATCTTAGCAAGTACCATGTTTTGAAGTATTTGTGAGTAATATCCCTTCAATCTTACTTGCTCTCTTGCCTTTTCCCAGTTCATCTTTTCTGCACTGCAAGACAGGAGTGGCATAGATTTTGTTGAGCTTGTGCTCCCTCTCCTGGAAAGTGACTTCTACAGCAACAGCAAAAAATGAGGAGGTTTATCCAGAGCACTGAGTGTGGTAGAGAAAGTCTGTCCATCCCATCCCCTCTCACACTTCAATCCCAGGAAAGAAAAAGCCTATGGGCTATTCATAGATCTCTTCTCTGAAGTCAACTTGGGATAATTTTTTTTGTGCATTTGTGCCTCATTTCACCATCCTTCTTGAGTGCCAAGTAGTGCCTTGGTAGCATCTCTGGTCAGCTCTCAGCATTCTTCTTCAGTTGTCTTGTCAGACATTTCTGGCAGTGGTTTGAGAGGTGTGTGCTTTGTCCTCTTACCCAAGAGCACAGGTGAGATGTTTGCATCCACATCTGTGAGGCTAGGAGATTGGGGTCTGGAGTTTCTATTCTCCTTTATTAAGGCTGGAAAAAAAACATAACTGAAGTAATTTTCTGTTTCAAGTTGAGCAGTATCCCTTCAGTCAGCCAGGCAAAAGAAAGTTGGTCTAGGCAGGGAGTGTCTGTGTGGTTTCTCACCTCATCTTCTGCCATCAGGCTTGCAGACTGCTCCTTGGTCCTATTCCTTGGGATTTTTTAATGCAGAGGTTAGAATGAGCACTGCACTTTTGGCACTGTGGTGTATACCAGCATAAGGCTGCGTCTTCCTGGGTTCCTCACAAAAGTGTTCTTGAATCTTAAAGAAAATATATTTTAAAACAATGTCTGCATAAGTTAAAGCCAGAAGATATTTCTTGCAGAAAAATGAAACAAAAAAAGGGAACAGATTTCTAAAAATTTCTGAGACTAAAACTGCTTGTCTTTGAGTTTGTCAATAACAGGGAGTAGCAAGGAAAAGACACTAATCTTTGGGCTTCAGTAATGCTTGTCTCTCACAGTGCCCCTCTGGACAAAATGTCCAGTACACATGTGGATAACCACGTTACATGATGGGTGAGCAACCAGGTCACAGACCTGGCCCAAAAATTTACAGTGAATGGGGTGACATTAGGCTGGCATCCAGTCACTAGTGGGATTCCACAGGGCGCCATCCTTGGCCCAGTTCTCTTCAGCATCTTCAGTAATGGACATGGGACTTGAAGAAATACTAAGTTTGAAAACAACACTACACTGTGAGGAGCTGGCAGCTCCCTTGAGGGCAGACAGGTCCTGCAGAGAGACCTCAACAAACTAGAGAGATGGAAAATCACCAACCATATGAAGATTAGCAAGGGAAAGTTCCGGATTCTGCACCTGGGATGGGACAGCCCTGGTTGTGTGCACAGACTGGGGAATGAGAGGCTGAAGAGCAGCCCTGTGGGAAAAAGACCTGGGGCTCCTGGTGGATGGCAAGTTGAACATGAGTCAGCAGTGCCCTGGCAGCCAGGAGGGAAACTGTGTCCTGGGGGACATCAGGGACAGCATCACCAGCTGAGCAATGGAAGGGATTGTCCCGTTCTGCTCTGCACTGTGGTGGCCTCACTTTGGGTTCTGGGGGCAGTTTGGGGTGTCACAACAAAGGAAAGAATTAAGCTGTTAGAGAGTGTCCAGAGGAACACCATGAGGATGGTGAAGGGCCTTGAGGGGAAGTGGTATGAAGAGCAGCTGAGATCACTTGTCTGTTCAGCCTGGAGGAGAGGAGACTGAGGGGAGTTCTCATTGTGATCTTGAACATCCTCAAGAGGGCAAGAGGAGGGGCAGGTACTGATCTCTTCACTTTTGTGCCCCGGAACAGGACCTGAGGGAATGGCCTGAAGCTGAGTTCAGAGGAGGTTTATGTTGGGTATTAGGAAGAAGTTCCTCACCCAGAGAGTGGTTGGGGACAGGCTCCCCTGAGAAGTGATCACAGCACAAAGCCTGCCTGAGTTCAAGAAGTGTTTGGACAATGCTCTCAGGCACATGGTGCGACTTGGGGTGTCCTGTGCCGGACCAGGAATTGGACTCAATAACCCTTTTGAGGCCCTTCCAACTCAGCATTTCCTATGATTCTATGACTCTATAATAAATGAGATTATATTTAAAAATAAGCATCAAATGTATACTGGCTGGTTTTATTGTCATGAAGAGAATGGCTATGAGTGAACAGTCAGTGAGAAGGGCTTTAAACAGCATTTCTTTCAGGAGTTCAGAATACAATCACTTTGTTTATTCAGTATTTGTACTTTTCCTCTTTCCATTAATCCTCTTGTACTTGAGTGATGGATGTCCATTCCTCCCATTCTTCTCTATTTTTCTTGTTTTCCAGGAGAAAAAGATGTAATAATCCTTGGAGATTTTAACCAGGCCCCAGACAGCAGCGACCATGACATCCTGAGGAAGGAGAAGTTTCACCACCTGGTCCCTTCCAGCACCTTCACCAACATCAGCACAAAGAACCCACAAGGGTCCAAGTCGCTGGATAACATCTGGATCAGCCGGAGCTTGAAAAAGGTTTTCACAGGTAGAGTTGCTTGTTTGAAGTCGTGTAACCTTTATTTGTGTCAGGCTCACTTCGGGCAGTGTCACCTAACGTTTCCCTGTGCCTCTCTTTGCTGCAGGCCACTGGGCTGTCGTGCGAGAAGGGCTCACAAACCCATGGATCCCCGATAACTGGTCCTGGGGTGGGGTGGCCTCGGAGCACTGCCCCGTGCTGGCTGAGTTTTACCTGGAGAAGGACTGGAACAGGAAGGAGGTGACGCGGAACGGGAACGGGGTGACGGTGGAACGCAGCGACTCCCACACGAAGCACGAACGATGACGTGAACTCGAGGGTGCCTCTCCTGCCACCCAGGGAAGGCTCTGGTCACTCATGACCCCACGGCAGAGCAGGACTGCCTTCCCCTCCCTCTAGTTCCTGCTCTCCTCCCTGCACCTAGAAAGCATCAGCACGTGATTTTGGTGGTCCCGGCTGTGAGCCCCTCCTGGACAGTTCTGGACGGAGCCTCATGGCAGCAGAACAATCTGCAACTTTTTCTGGGGACACAGTGGACATTTCCACACCTGGAGATTTGGATAAGAATTGTACAGAAAAATAAAGTGTACTTTTAATATTGGAAAAGCTCTTTGCTGAAATGCAGCTGAACAGGGTTTTGCTGGGAGGGGGAAGGGCAGGTGATGGTTATTTTCCTTTGCCTGCTTGTAAATTGAGGTAATAAGAGAGACACGATGGACATTCTTGGCAACTCTCAAATGCCATTGAGCACTTGCAAAAGCTGCTGGAGCTGGTCCCTATGTGATCTGCAGTGAGACCTGAGTGGTGCCTCTGCCCCAGCCTGGAGAGACACTGTTCCTCCACAGCCCCACGTAGGCGCCCCCTCATCCTTTCTTTCCTCCTTCCTTACACAGCTGGCAGGGTCATTTTGCCCCAGAATAGCTTCCTGGAGCTTGACTTTGTCTTTTTGTTTGGTGCAACATTCAGTGTTGGGTTTTCTTCCTGCCCAATAGTTTTTGGGAGCTGGGAAAGCACCAACTTGTCCCTCTGCATAGCCAGGTCCACTTCTCCAGTGCCCTTTGCCTTGCTCCCTGTTGGGCATCCCACAGGAACAGCCCTCTGTGCCTCCAGCTGGCATCAGTGAGATGTAGCCATGGGTCTCTGTCTAGAAGTTGGTGTTCTGCAGGCCATGCATCCTGGAAGTCTGTAGATGAGCCCATATTCATGTGATCCGTGCAGGGGCTGGCCCACATGATGCACTGACCTCCAAAAGTCCATTGGCTTTTTTCAGGGTTTCAGTTTGTCCCTCTGGCAGACCAGGCAGTCATGCATCCCTTTCCTGAGCCTCACTGCTGCCTAAGCCTGGTTCACTCACCACAACCACCACAAATCCAGCGTGTCGTCATTGTCCATGGGGCTGCTTCCAAGGAGGTTTGGGTTCTGGGCTTGTTCTGGGTGGGGGCACTTCAGTCGCTGGCTTGGCAGTTCCAGGAATGGAACGTTGAATTTGCCACCCACATGAGATTTTTCATGCAGCAATCAATAGCCAGCAACCTAGAAGGGAAACAGATCAGCACTTTAGCAACTGCGAAAGAAATAGATTGAGTGTGAAAGGTACTGAGCTGCCCCCTAAGCCAGTGCCTGCTGCTCTGGGCTGCTGATGACCACACATTTTGCTGCTGAGAGGAAAGGAAAGCTCTAGCATGGGGGTGACTCTCAGACTGAGGGAGATTTCAAGGATATTTCAAGAGGTCAAGAGAATGACTAAGGACTTGGAACATCAGCCCAAAAAATGTACCTTTAGTTGCTCAACATTCCTTATTGAAAATAGAAGGTGCAGGCACTTATTTCTGGTCATTAAAGAAAGTAGCTGAGACCTTGGCTCCAGCTTTCATTCTCAATCCTTGCTGCAACTTTGGCCTTTTCAATCAAGCACAATTTTGCTGCCCTCTTTTAATTTGAGCAGCACCAGATTCCTCAAAAAACTCTCAGTGGATAACTGAAAAATATAGGCAAAAATGCAATAGAGTTGCTTTAGTCAGATGAATATTCCATGAGGTGAGATGCAGTAATATACCCAAGACACACTCCCTCTCTTGCACCAGCTAGTGTTTCCCTGCTATAAATCTGTTTGGAGGCTGAAATTATTTTATAGCTCTAGAAATAACACTTGGAAAGGCCAGATTCCATTTATTCTGCTGTGTGTAAATAAGTGCAGAGGCATCAAAGCTGAGAGAAACACCTGCAGCCTCCTGAGCAGGTGACAGTGCTCACAGGTGCTGCAGGGGCCCTTGCTTTGGCTCATGAGTTAACAGGGGCTGCAGGTGTGGGAAATGAGCTGAGCCCCCTTCATAACCCATGGGTGAGCTGTAAGGAGAGTTAATGAGGCTGCTCTGTAGTCCAGAGGTTCCTCAGCCCAGTGGAGAGCTCTGGAAAGATGATTACTTGGTGGATAAAAAAGATGGATTGGGATAAGATGGGAGGAAGATGGAGGAATTGGATACCTACAGGTGGGATTCTGCCTTGCATGGAGCATCTGTATGAGGTATGTGCCTGGTTACTTCATGTTGGCAATCAGCAGTGCCTCACTGTGTCTCGCTGGTTTTCAGAAGTTTGCTTTGTTCTGACAACCCTGGAGGAGAATGAGGTGGCTGTGAGTTTGATGGATTTTGGAGTTCCCAAGAGCTTCTATTGTGCTGTAGTTGTTCAGAAGCTGAAGTGGTGGCTGTGTTTCTCCTGCCCCTGTGGGAGCAAACCTGAATAGCAGTTTTATTTCAAGATGCCCCTACTGCAAGCTCTGCTGGCCCAGCTGGCTGTGGCTTTAGTGCCCAGGCAGTGCCAAGGAAGGCAGCAACTAAGGAGGGGGTACAGAAGCAGTGAACCATTCCTACAGAAGTGTGGATACACCTTACACATCTTGGGGTCCCCTCAGGAGACCAAATTTTGTGAGGCAGGGTCCTGCTTCATTAGTAATGTCACCAATGGCTAGAGAATTATTTGGTCTGGGTTTAATTTTTTTGTAAGGCCATTTATCTCAGCTGTGCAGAGTGAAGGCTGGTGAAGCTCTTCCCTGCCCACTGCACATGGAGCCTGGGCACTTCCTTACAGCAAAGTGCTGCCTCCTGTCCCCTGCTGACACGTGCCAGCCTCAGACCTCCCCTGGCCAGGGGACATGTTAACAGCTGATGCACAGCATATGGTCCCTGTGGTGGCTTCTGCAGGGAGGTCACTCCTCTTTCTAGCAGGGGGAGGCAGCTCCTTGAAAAACACATTTGAGTTTCTACCTTTTAGCATCTCCTGGAAAAAGCTTAAAGCAGCACCCAGCTCAGCAAGGCTGAGGTGGCCATGTCCAGCATTTGGCCTCTTTGCTCCTCTCAATGAAAGCTTTTAAATTATTCTCAGCCAAATTATTCTCCTTTCCTATTTGCCCTGACACATTTGCTTCATGGGAAACCCTCTGCTTCGTCCTGTGGGCTTTCTAAAATAACTTACTTAACTAACTTGAACTAATGCCCATTTGGTCAATTGGCTTTGCAGTGTTGTTGCACTGCAGTGTTGCAAGCCATCTAAAAAAGAAGAGTGATATAGAAGAGTTTGAAGACTTGTTAAAAACCTCTGAGGAGCAAACAAAAGGAAATGATTGTCCTGGAGATGAACTTCCAAGAACCAGGTTGTGGCAGCAGTGGTCCAGATGCAGCAGGCAGGAGTGGAGGCTTGGCTGTACGAGTTAATCAGCCTTGGTCTTGGCACTCTTAAACCCAAAGGGGAGTCAGTGCTCAGTGTTCCTAGAAAATGGCAGAAAAGGGTCAGTCCAGAGGACTTCAAGGTTTTCCTAGACATCTAAATGCTGCCTTCTGACATGGAGTTGATTTTTGGTTTTAAACCTGGTGTTTTGATGGAGCATACTGGCCATGGACAGGAGCCAGATGCGATGGTAAGCAGAGCTCCAGGGTCAGCAGCTGCTGTTCACTGGGAGCATGTCAGGTCATAAATTTAAGCACTCAGAAATTAGGTGGAAATGTCCCATATTTTTGTTATGAGCTTTTTGTTAGCTGCAGGAAGCAAGGCAAAGTCATGCAGGCATTTCCTGGCCACTGACTTTAACACTTTTGTACAGAGTTTGTATAGGGGAAAAACTTTATAGGAGGCTTATGTTCTTTGTTTTTCCTAAGCAAAATGAAAAGTTCTTCCCCACATGAGGAGTCACACTGACTGTGAATCAGGGCTCTTTTGGGAAACAGCCTGCAGCAGCTTTTCCAAGCCCAGAAGAGATGCAGCAGCAGGTCTGTGTGAGCTGGCTGCTCTTAGGGTGACTAGAGGGCCATGCCAGCAGGGCAAGCACAGCTCTCACTGTCACCACTCAGCAGTTCTGGGTGGCTTCCCACATTCCACAGAGCAGGACAAGACCACAATTACAGACAGAACCCTTATCTGCTTAGCTGGTTTTTAGGGTTTTAGGCCTTAAGCAATTTTTACCTCTGTATCTGTAGGTAAAAAAGCTGCTTTGTAAAATCAAAGCAGCTAAAAGGATTTACTCTGAAGTACCTACAGGTTAGGTGTACACTAACAGGTTATATGTTGCTGGATGACCCTTTCATGACCCATCCTTCTGGCCATCTCATAACCCTGCACAATGAGATGTTCCCAGCCTGAGGGATGTCCAAAGTTCCCTTTATCAGCTGTGTGAAAGACCTCATTTAAAAAGGGGAAAAAAAATGGAATGTGCACACCCCTGAACTGCAACACTGCTCAAACTATGTGAAAACACAAGGAGGACCAGGGTCTCAGAGCACTTTCCCATCAGATTTTAGGGAGTGGCCTTCAGGGAAGCTCTTCCTTCTGACCTCCTTATTTCTTTGTCCATAGACAAGAGAAGCTGCCTTGCAGCTTGGTGGTGAATTTACCTCCCCCCATTCTTACTGCCTGAAATTCTCAGCAGGCTCCCACAAAGAGCACCTTGGTACCCTTGCACCCCCTCCTTTGGGGGAACCTTAACTTGATTCCTTCAAGTGCACAGCCATTGTTCCTTTTACTGACCAAGGGTGCTGGGAGCTGGAGGAGTGTGCACTAGAGAGACTGGAAAATGGGGAAGGACAGAGATGAGACAACAGATGGAGGAGTGAATCTCCACTGGAGGTTTCTCCACATGATCCTCTGGTGACATATCCTGCCCATGCCAGGAAAAGCTTCTTGGCTGAAAGTTCTATGGGAAGATCAAAAATACAGAACAGTTTAGCTTTAAAACACTGCCAGGAGGAGAGGAAGAAGAGGTTGACTCCCAGATCACCTGTGATTTTTTTTTTTTTTTTGGTGAGTGGGAGAGAATTTACTTACTTTCTAGGCTCAGAGATGCATGATATGGCAGTGAATATATTCCTTAGATAAAATGGAACGTGAAGGACTTGGATTAGAAAAAAAGCAGCCTGATGGATGAGTGCTAGAGAGCAGGATAAAAGTCAGACAAGACAGAAATAAGCCAGTAAGCTGGAGACAACAGCCTGACAGGTCTCCTGTGGCTTGGAATGTGCCACAGGATGGAAATTGGGCCCTAAAGTATAAATGTGACACCCTCCAAGTGTCCTTTTCAGAGCACTCCTGGGACAGGCCTGACCATGAGCCCAGCTCTG